GGGTCTCACTATAAATTCTAGCAGCATTTGCCAAATACATATAAAGACATGGATTGAGACACAGAATTCAGTGGTTACTGTGGCGTTTTCTCCATTTCTGTGCAAATGGAGAGTCCAGCAAAACGAGGCAGAGTTCTGTTAACAGCAGCCTACAGAAGTGGCTCAGGCAAGTCTGCACCAGTGGGAAAGGAGAAGGATGAAGGAGGCTGTTCTGGGTGGGCAGATGGACAGTCAAGATAAGAAAGAAGTTAAAAAAGGAAAAAAACAAACAAACAAGGGCCAACATTAAGATGAGACTGAAACATTAGATGGGAAAAGAAGTCAAATACAAACAAACATAAAAGCTAAACAAAAATAATTAGAGGAAGCAGCATTTCTGCTGGTGTGGCAAGTGGAAAATATTTGACAAATGCCATGTCTGAGCTGGTGTTCTGAGCGTTTTGTACATATGATCTTATTAAATCCTCATAACAACCCTGTAAAGTTGGTACTTATTATTATCTCCACTTTACAGATGAGAACACCAGGGTGAAAAGGGGTTAAAAAATTGTCCAAAGTCACAGAGGTAAATGGTAGAGTTGGCATTTGAATTCAAGTAATAAGGTTTTGGAGCTCAGGTGCTAAACAGCTACCCTGTACCAACCACCTTTCCAACATGCAATGAGGAGAGAACAGCGCTTCATTTAGCACATATGTGCCAAGTACTGCATGAGTCTCAGGGCGTCAGTCGTGCCCAGAACAGATTCCTTCTGTCATTACAAGTCAGAACAGATCTGTCCTTATAGGGCCTCATACTTGTGGTCTTTATGTGACCCCTGGACAGATTACTCATCTCCCAAGTCCCTCAACTATAAAATCAGGATAAATACACAAATACCTAACTTAGAGAGGAAGTATTACTTTAAGAAATCAGTAATTATATGAAATTATGAAATGCACATATGAATTATAATACAGAAAAAAACTATATATATATAAACTATATATATAAGATAGTGGGACTGAAAATAAGATGAATTTGTACAAGTTTGTCTTTCAAATTTGTAACCTGAGAGGAGGAAACATGCAAACAGGTATACTTTAATGGTGAGACATCTAAACATTGGAGGTGCTCTAAAATGATTTCAAAAGTAATTATTTACTTATACTTTTAAATTACCCTATTATAAAAAATTGAACGTTTTAAAATACATGTAGGTTAGGGTAGTGGAACACTCTACCTGACTTCCAAAGATCGACTTTGAGGTCATTACCATCAAATTTCTGTGATTTATTATTCATGGTATAATGGAGTTTATATTAAAACACTGCAGCAGTGCAAACATGGTCTTATTAAGATATAAATTGTGATGGTTCTTGATTGGTTACTTATTTTTTCAGGTAACAATTTTAAAGAATTGAGTCGCAAAGCTGGAAACATTATATATTCCCTCTTTAGACCCCATAACGGGGAGAGCAGAAGCAATAAACAGAATTTCTTAGGATTGGATGAGGTCTTTTTTTTCTATCATTGCTCTTTTAGAATAAAAATATCTCAGCTTTAGAAATACTGTCACTTTAAATAAATCAGATTCTAGACATTGCAGATAAAACAGCTCCCATTGAAGGTGAAGATAGAGATGAGAAATAGCAATTTAATGAAGAAAGGGTAGAAATGAGACAGAAGAGGGGAAGGATGCAAGGGACTAGAATGTAGTGGGTAGGAATGTGGATGCTGAGTTCTTGAGCTGTCTGGAATCAAATCCTGTTCTACCACTGTTTAAGTGTGAGATCTTGAACAGGCCTGAAAAATATAACAACTATTTACTTAATATATTAGGTATTTTAAGTAATCTAGAGATTAAAGTATACAAGAGGATATGCATTGGTTATATGCAAATACCATCCATTTAAAATAAGGGTTTTGCTGGGGATTTAGCTTAGTGGTGCCACTGCCTGCTTTGCAAGCGCAGGGTCCCAAGTTCGATCCCCTGTACCAAAAAAAAAAAGAAAAGAAAAGAAGGGTTTTGAGTATTCATGGACTTTGGTACCCTTGAGTAGAGAAATCCTGGAACAAATACTCCTTGGACACTGAGGGATGACTATATACTGCAACACACTAGATTATAACTTTTATACATCTCATGGTATGGGAATTATATCTCAAAGCTTTAAAAAAAATACTCCCCCTCATACATTCAACTATGAAATACAGTGTTCTCATTGATTTTTACATCTCTTTTAGGCTGATTATGTGATCCCTGTGGATGATAATGATGAAAACTACATTCATCCCACAGAAAGCACTTCACTTCCATCTCAAAAAGGTAAGAGTGTAGTTTTAAGCTCCTGAAAACTTGGAACCATTGATAGGGACATACCAGGTATTCAGTAGTAAGCACTGGGGGCTCAGAAATGACAGAGCCCAGGCCTCTCTCCTCTGAGGCCACAGCGGGTGGCTTTGGCTAGTAGAGCAGACAGCATCAGTGAGCAACTCATTTGTGGGTTGCATAGCCTTTCCTTTTCTTTTTTCCTCTTCTGTGATGAAATACTACCATATCAAATTATTAAAACACCTGGGTTACTATCTTCAGCTGCCCTCACTTAGAATGGATTTCTCATAAAACGTAATCCAAAAATACAAGTTACCCTGTTGGCCTTATAAATAATGCACCAGAAAGAATTTATGTAGTGGCTTGAAATTTTTTGAAAGAGTGAGTATCCTCTGCATTCTCATTCTTTAAATTCTGTGGCAAAGGGCTGGGGGTTTAGCTCAGTGGTTTTGGCTCCTGCCTCACAAGCACAAGGTCCCGAGTTCGATCCCCAGTACCGGAAAAAAAAAAAAAAAGATTTATTAAATTGTGTGGCATCTCAGGCCTGTGAGAAATGTTTCATTTTTAAATCCTACTTGGGATAACAGATGCTATTACAAATAAATTATCTGTAAAAGGCCAGTGCCACATAGCCTCAGACCAGACACTAAAACAGGATATATTTACTGTAGCTATAGTCACTGTGGAGAATATAATCTCATGTAAGTGATAAATCTTCAGGTAATGCTACTTAGGTAACCAACTCATCTGATAAAGGTAGTAGTAGTCACTCTTTACTCTGCCTTCATGTAGCAACCCTCTTCTGTACTCCCTAAATCTCACCAGCAGTTTCAAGACCTACCTGAACTCTCAAAATACTCATTACCACAAAACAGCACATTCACATTGCATTTTACCCCCACAACATTCTAGAGAAATTGTGTATGTTGCATATGGCAGGGGAAGTGGGACTATTAATTTGGGCCTTCCATGCTTAGTTTTAATACATTCCTCCTGATAAGAAACAAAAATCAAACTCAGTTATCTCCTAGCTCCAGTTTAACAAATCATTAAGCTAGTAATCACTATAATAAAATCCCTAACACAAAATAACAATTATTTCTTTATTCATCAATATATTTGTTCTAAAGATTTCTTCTGAAAAGCCGTGTTTGAATGGATTGTGTGTTTAATAATGGGAGATACCCAATTCTTTTTTTAAATTAATTTTATTGGTACATTTTAGGTATACAATATAATGACATTCATATCGGAAATTTGCACCTTTACATAATCTCTCTTGGTTCTTATTTTTCTCCCTTCCCCTGCCGTCCCTTCAACCCCTCCATCCCTCCCTATTTACAAAGACTTTGTTTCCGTTTTTTCATTTTCTCATATTAATCCCATTCCCTTCTTTCCTTTCCCCTACCCCTCCCACTTACCCTTCTCCATTGTCCCTTTTCTTCCTATTTCACATTATCTATTATACCTTTTAGTCCTTATTTACACTTTTCAGTTTCTCACACTAGAGAAAGTATTTGGTATTTACACATGTGTGTCCTATTTATTTCACTTAAGAGGCAATACTCTTAAGATACCTCAGAGAACTAGAACTAGAGGTCCCATTTGACCCAGCTATTCCCCTGCTGGGTATTTTCCCAAAAGAATTAAAAGAATCATACCCCAGTGATATATGTCTACCCATGTTTATAGGGGCACAGTTTGTAATAGCTAAAGCTTGGAAGCAGCCCAAGTGCCCATCAACTGGAAACTGGATAAAGAAGATGGGGTTTTTTAATAAAATGGAGTACTACTCAGCCATAAAGAATGAAAAACTAGAGTCATTTATAGCCAAATGGATGCATATTGAGGCCATACTCATAAGTGAAATAAATAGGACACACATCTAAATACCGAATAGTTTTCTCTAGTGTGAGAAACTGAAAGTGCAAATAAGGGTTAAAATGATTAAAATGAATAATTGATAATTTGAAATAGGAAAAAAGGTCCAAAGAGGTAGGGGTGAAGGGAGGGGAAGGGGAAAGGAAAACAGGGAAAGGAAAAACTATGAGAAAAGAAAAAAAAAATGGAAATGAAATCTATGTAAATAGGGAAGGGTGGAGGGGGTGAAGGGTGAACAGGTAATGGGGAAAAAATAAGAACCAAGGTACATCATGTACAGGTACAAACACCCAATGATAAATGTAAATGTATTGTATACCTAAAATGTGCCAATAAAAGAACTTAAGAAAAATAAATAAATAAAAAAATGAGAGTATCACCTCAATGTGCATCCATTTAGCTATAAATGTCTCTAATTTCTCATTTTTATGGCTGAGTAGTACTCCATTTTATTTTTAAAAAACACATTTTCTTTCAATTTCCAGTTGATGGGCAATTGGGCTGCTTCCAAGTTTTAGCTATTGCAAATTGTGCTGCTATGAACATGGGTGCACATATATCAGTGTGATATGATTCTTCTAATTCTTTGGGGAAGAGACCCAGCAGGGGAATAGCTGGGTCAAATGGGACTTCCAGTCCTGGTTCTTTGAGGGAGATACCCAATTCTTTGCAAATTCTATCTGATCTATCATTTTTCTCTGCATGGGAATTTTTGTAAGTGGAATACATCTGTATCATTACTTATCTATACATTTGTGTTTAAGCTCCCATGGTGAATAGATCAACCAAGCCAAGTAGCTCCTTGAAGTCGGCTTCTCCTCCAGGGACAGCTTCAGGTAAACTATATGCATGCTTTGGTTTGGTTTTTAATCCATTCCAAGTAAGATACACAATTCAGATTAAACCTAAAGAAATAATCACTTGTATTTCCAAATTTCGTAGTAAATAGGAAGAGAAGGTCTATTTTTGTTCTTATCTGTTATCTGGTGGCCCCTATGTGGAAGGGACCCTCAGCCCTTGGCCTTTGGACTCTGTTATCCCCCCTCGCTGGGCACTGTGCTGCTTTCTTCCCTGTCTCCTTCCCCTGACTGAGGACATGCACAGGGCTTGGAGCACAGCTCTCGTTTCTGAATATCGTGGTGGTTAAAAGCTTGAGAGTGGAGCTAAACAAACCTAGGTTCCCCAGTTACCAGAGGTACAGCCTTGGGCTTGTACTTCACCTCTCCAAAGATCAGAGTTTCTCATCTGTAAATGGAAACAGTAGTTCCAACCTGTGGAAGGAGAATCCTGAAATTGTGACAGAGACTCTCTTCACACAGCGCTTAACAGTCAAAGAAAATAACTTTTCCACAGCTTTAGATTTCATTCATTCTTATGGCTCTACTTCACATGCCCGAGCCACTAACATCCTATTGTCCAACCTTGGCCTAGTTTACCCCTTTGATCACCTTGGCTTCTTTGCACCTCAAGCTCAACATTTCCATCACCACCCTCTCCTACTGAGTGCTAGTTCCTCCACATGTGGCAGCCTCCAGACAATCTGTTTCAAATATTCTGTGTTCTTTCCAAAGCCTGCTGTTTCTTCACCCAGAATTTGCTCTTCTGTTTCAGTTGCCACAACCCTAGGCCAGGCTTGTCACCTCATACCTTCTTGCCACCATCCCCCAACCACACTACACTCCTACCTCTCTCCTCTCTCCTCATCAACAGACAATGAGCTTCTGAACTCCTCCAGACATTGCCCACTTTAATTCATTACATGTCACCTCTACCCAAGCCATGGATCTAGAAGATCCTAGTTGTCTCCAGTAGGTTCCAGCAATCCTCAAGGCTGAGGCCAGAGATGACACGTGGTGCTCACAGCCCCACTCTATTGCCAGCCCACAGGGTGTGGGGCCTCTCTTCTGCTTCCTGTGTGCATTCTCTGTCTCTGTCTCTGTCTCTCTCTCTCTTCCTGGGCCCCTCATCAACATGCACACGTGCACATACATACTCCCCTCTCTTCCAGACCTGAAGATAAGCAGTAGAAGAATAGGCTCTTCTACTGACAGGATCCTTCTGAGAAAATAAAAGAAAAATATTTTTTAGACTAATTTCTTGTGAAATTGTTCATTGTAAGCTCTCATCTTTTGTGTTCTCTCCCTTAGAACCCATAATAGCCTCTTTATATTTGGGGAGTGGATCTTAGAGCCCTGTTATCCAGCTCATCTGAGGTTCTGGGAGCAAAGGGCAGCAAACCAATGCAAAATGACATGGAAAGGTTGCTTCAGTTCTACCTGAAGTGGAAACTCCTGACTCAGGATGGATTGTCATTACTGGGACTGGAATCCTTTTACTAAAACAAATAAGTGAAGACCTAAACTTTCCTTTAGAAAAATAGCTAATCTCTGGCGTTTCCATCTTTAAAAGCTCTGCTTGCTTTCCCAGTGATTTCTTCCCAAAACATACCCAGTACACCAGTTAGTTTATATTTTATGGGTCCTGGTTTATTATCTTTGGGTTCTCATTTTATGGCACCAAATCTTGGGTGCCTTTCAGATCCCAGCTTGAGGTTTCCACTTCCAGGAATCCCTCTCTGGTTTCTGTGGTCCTCAAAGAGTTCTCTTTTGCCAGAAGTCTCTTTCCACACACACTGTCCCCATGCCTATTCCCTGATTACTTTGTATCTCAGTCTAGTCTTCCTAAGTACATTGAAAGCTCCCTGAAGATTTTGCTTTCGCTGTTACTTGCTCAGGGGACCTTACCTAATCTCATACTGAAGTGGATCCTTATGTGCAGTCCTATAAGCCCCACACTCATCCTTTATCCTATGTCCCTTCCTGAGACATGTCTTTCTTGTAAGAGTCTCAGCTGCATACCCTGCTCACAGCTATCTCCAGGTGCCTAGTTCACAGCAGGTATTGAGATGACAGGTGGGTCAGTTTGGGGTGAGCAAGACCCCAAACACTGGCTGCATGTGAAGAATCACATAGTTTATCATGAGAGCAATAGTCCACTGGGTTTATTATTCACTGGCTAGTTATTAACCCAGTGTAGCTATATTTTTGTACTAGAGACACAGATGAAGAAACCAAACAAAATAATGTGCTAATTATGTGATTGTTGCCTATCAGTGGGAGGAAGGACAGGAAGACGAAGGAAAAGAGGTGATTTGGGAAGAACAAACTTGAACGGTTAGAATGAGCTTTTGAGTGTGTGATCAGTAGGATTTTTCAGGGATGATTTCCATAAAAAGAATGATCAAACTACTTGCCTGTGTCATTAAATAACAATCCATTGCTCCTCAAACTACTCAGATAGCTCCCACTGAGCACCACAGAACTGCCGAGGTTTCTGGGTGCTGTTTCTGCCAAGTACCGCACCATGTCACTTGCCTCTGGTTAATGTTGCTTTTGGCTCTTTGATAGCCAGTAAGGAGCTTGCTGAGGACTGCACAGGAAATTAGGTATGATGGGAGGCTCTACTCTTCCCTTCATGCCTTGCACACCAAGAAGCACAGGTGCATAGACTTAGCCCAGATCCAAAGTCAGAGAGTTTGTGACCCAGCCCTGACACTTGCTAGGCACTGGAACTTACACAGGTGAAGTAACTTCTGTTTCTTAGTTTCTTCCTCTGAAAAATGGGGAAAATGGCACCTAAGCATAGGGGTATTGTGAGAATTAAATGAGTCAATATATAAGAATCACACTCATAAAATGATACCTCTCTGTTGTTATTATTGTGGGCACCATTCAGAAGCCTTTGTTTAACTGGCCTTGATTCATAACCATTCTGGCAGGCACATCCTGTACACCTCTCAGGGAACAATTCTATTTCCTTCTTTTAATATGAAGTTTTACTCTAAATCAGTGTGTCTTAACCTTGGCACTGTTCACATTTTAGACCAGACAACTTTGTTTTGGGAGCCAGTGTGCATTGTAGGATGCTTGGCAGCATCCCTGGCCTCGACCCACTATATTCCAGTAGAATCTACCACACTTCCAGTTTTTCCCGTGGAGCATCCTAACCGGGAATTCAGAAAGCAAGGGACCTGGCAGTGAAGAAAATTCCAGGTGTACCTGGGACGGAGTTGTCCTACCTTAGCTACACTTGTGGGTCTGGCTTTGTTCCACAGGAGCAGGAGGGCCTGGCCCATGAGATAGAGGAATCGTGCTCCATCTTCCTTCAGCATCCACAGAAGTGCCTCTCTGTTTCCTTTATCTTTCCCTTCCTAAGAGAAGCAATAAGTGAATTGACCTGCTTTCTCAATCATGGCCCAGAGAACATTCTGAGGTCTTAGCTGAAAAGGAAAGTGCTGACTGGGCTTTAGCTCAAATAGCCTTGGTTTAAACCCCAGCCTGCCCTCCCACTTATTCTCTCTGAGACTCTGTTTGCGTCACCTGTAGTTACATGAGGCTTAGAAAGAGAATGGCATCTTTAAAGTACCTGGCACACTGGCAGCACCTAAAGACACTGTAGTGATTGATCATAAGACAATGAAACAAAGACAATAACAATCATGTTTACTGTGATCTTTTGAGTTTTAATTTACATATAATAAAACTCATCCATTTTATGTATACAACTTGATGATTTTTGTAAACTATTGCATTTATAAAATAATTGTGTAACCACCACCATAGCCCAGTTTTAGAAAATTTCCATGCCTACCCCAACCTCAATAGATCCCTTATACAGCAGCCATTTTTCTCAACTCCAGCTCCAAGCAACCACTAATTTGCTTTCTGTTGCTCTAGGTTTGCCTTTTCTAGATTGATACAATCACACAATGTGTACTCTTTTACATCAAGCTCCTTTCACCTAGCACAATGCTCAAAACCTTTTAATCTACTTTCAGCAATATTACTTTAGAGTTGGCTAATTCTTTAAAATTTCAGTTATTCTACCATTTTATGACAATAACTCTAAGTTTGATATGGTAAGGAGTGGTGTCCCCATTATACAGAGAGGGTAACTGAGGCACAGTGGCTTATAAGAGGTCACCCAGCCAGTTTGGTGACAGAGAACAATGAGAACCTAGCTTCTGGGTACAAGACAGTATGTTTTCCACCAGCCCTTGTCTTGAGCTACTAGAAGATATTTATGAAGAGGAAAAGGGAAGGAAAATGTTGGCAGGCTGTTTGGAGATACAAAGAAAAGGGAAGTTTAGTAAAAAAAAAGAAATCAAGGCAGTAGGTCTGACAAAGATAATATAGCCAGACTGAGTGAATCCTTGACATTTAAGAAGAAACTCCTGGGAGGAAATTGACTAGACATTTCTACTTCCTTATTTTTCAGACAGGATTTTTTTTATCTTCCTTGAAACTGTCCCTTAAAAATGTATGAGTCACCAAGGGTGTTTTGTCAGAGTCAATCTTAAGTATTCAATTTAATATACCAGCTAATTAAACTCAGTTGGACTCATACTACATTTCAGTTCATTGTCACATGTAACGTAAAAATTCTAAATGTAGTCTCTTTTCCAAAATACTTCTAGAAATTACATCTTGGTTAGGTGGCCTGTAAGTTGGATGACATTGGAGGTGACCCTACTTCCCAGGATGCTGGGGAAAGCTGCCATATGGAATCAGTACCACACAGCTTATGCTACTGCTGTCACCTGTGAGTGTTTACAGAAGTTAGCCCTATGCAAAAGCCATGTATAGACAGAGTAAGTGAGCTCGGAGCAGCAGCTGGGGGTCTCTCTCTACCAAAGTCCACAAAAATGAACTTTGTCATCTCTATTTTTAAATAGTTTAGGCTTTTTTCCTTTTTAGTGTTAAAATGAGATGACACAAGGGTGTACATGTCTTCCTTGTGTGCTGAGAGGGAGGAGGCCATATCTGTTCCTTCAAAACTTCTTCCTCAGTGCCTACCATAGCCTTGGAGTGCTTTACACAGTCCAGCTTCTCAGTAATTCTTGGTAAGTGTTACTTATGTGTCCTCCATCTTGAAAATTACAGCAATACATACTGAGGCAACACACTTACTTATGCTTAGGGTATTCTCCATAATTCCATTATGAATTATTAACTAACCAATATGGTACGTTCTTAAGAAAATCAAATAGTTCAATTTGATTCAGTGAAGAGCCTTACCAAGAGCTTCCTTATCTCTCTGAGCAATAATGTCCAAGCAGCCAAGCATCTGCCTGGGAGGGAGCAGCCAGCAGAGGCTGAGGACCGACTTGGCTCTGGTCTCTCCCCTCCAGGTCTGCCCTCTGTCCCTGCAGCCAAGATCTACCTTGCTTCTCTCTTGTCCTCCTTCATAATGATTATCTGGCTCTTGTCTTCAGACAGGGGAGGGAAGGTTGAGTGCAGGGATTAAGGCCCTCTGGGTCCTATCTACGACTTCAGAAGATAAGATTTGGGGAATAGCCTTCGACTTGCCCTGATTTGTTCATTTGTGTCCTAGGCAAAGGCACTGAGAACTTGGCAATAAACGTGAAGTGATGTGAGGTGCACATACCACATTGAAGAGGGGCTAGGGGTGAGCAGAGTCCATACTGTGTATCAGGAATGGTGGGTTTTAGCCTTTGGTGTTTAGGCACATCTGCTGCCACATTTGTACCGGGTATTACAGATGCAGGTGTGAGCTCTTGGCTCCCTCCCTCACCAAGGAATCCTTCTTGAACCTTCAGAATCAAGGGGCTCTGAACTTGCCCCATGCCTTACTCACAGAGGGCCTTCAGAAATGTTAGTATGGAGTTTTAGATCCATGTCTTAGTTCTGAGCATATACACTGACATTTTAAAACTGTATAATTACCTGTGCCCACAGGTTTTCTCACAGCCTCTGTAACTGGCTATAAACAGGAGCTGGGAATTTAGCTCAGTGGTGCCATGCCTGCCTGGCAAGCACAAGGTCCTGAGTTCAATTCCTGGTACAAAAACAAACAAAATTAGTTATATACATTTAAATGAAAGCAACCATACTGTGTGTATGTTTCTGAGTCTGTCAGAAAGGCCAGCCTCATTGAAGCCATCAGCCATTGAGGCAGAACAGGGACTGACCTATGTATGTGTTTGTGCAGGTCGAAACAGTGGGGTCTGGGAATGCAAGTCACCTTCTTCACCCGCTGCACCATCCCCACTGCCAAGGGCGGGGTGAGTACCTGCTGTGACGTCCAAGTGGATGGGATGGTGGGATCCTGCTGCCCTGCAGACTCCCATTAGAAGTCCTCCACCCCCATGGCACCCTGAACCATCATGACCCAGATGAACCCCTGATGAAATCAGAATCTAGAAGTCTTCCCTCCCTTGGAGCTTAGTTAAATCTTGGGCTCATTTACTTAGTGTTCCACAAGACAGTCTAACTTTCAGAAGCACTGGTATACCTGAATAATTTTTACTTTCTACTCCTTGTAAATAAATGTACGTACCATTTATAGCATACACAGACAAAGTATGTATAGGTTACACAGTCAAAACAATACTGCTGATGCTCCTTTCCAGAGTGATACAGAAGAGTTATTCTTTCTTCCTGAATCTAAAAGGGCTATATAGGTAAGCTATCAGGTGAGGATTATAATATGTTAATATTATGAACAGTGGCCCCCATAAAATTATGTTGGCTCAATAGGTTATTTTAAAAGCATACTTAAGTATATCTAAGGCTGGCTTGCATGATTATAATCTTAATTCTGCCTCTGTGGAAACCCAAGAAAGCCGTAATTTCAGGGGTTTATTAACCAAAACTGCATACCTCTCATGCTCACCTTTATCATTTGAGGTAAGTTACTTAGTTTCTCTGGGCCTCAGTTTCTTCATCTCTAAAATGTGATTATAATAACCATTTAAAAGGTTTAAATAACTGTGAAGAGCCCCACCGAGTTCCAAACATAGGCACACAGTAAATCAAAAGTTTTAAAACACTTCAACTCTCTGACAGAAACACACACACACACACACACACACACACACACACACACACACACACACACACACACACACACACACAGAGAGAGAGAGAGAGAGAGAGAGAGAATTAAAAATACCAAAGAAAAGCATAAAACCTTAGCAATATTAGATTCCAGTCTCTGCTGGAACCAAGACAAACAGTAATGTTAGTGGAGGCAAGGACCTTCAAGATCACAAGTTATACTGGGTTTCAAACTCGTTTGGCCTTGGATCTCCCTTGAATGTAATCTTATGTAGGTATCTAGTAAAAGAATAATCACTTAGATGAAGGGCAAGAGTTAGCTCTGCAGAAGAAGGTGCTGGCTACACCCTTACCTGCTTGGCTGTCATCTCATCTCTGCTTGTGCCCTGGTCAGGAGCCTATGGTGATGTTGGGGAGAGGAGGGCTCTGCATACAGAAGTTGAAAACACTGACTCTGGGTCCTGATTTCACAAGTGAGAAAACAAAAGGTCAAACTTGCCTCATAGCCAAAAGAAAGGGCCCAAGGTCACCAAGGAATTAGTAGAAGTGGAACAAGAGCTGGATCCACTGACTCCTTGGCAAGTGGGCTCTTGTTTATCCCCCATTGACTCTTCCCCATCTGTCAGTGGACTCAGTCTGAGGCTAGGAGGATCATAACTAAATCCTACTTGCATCCCTGTTTGTTTGCCTTTCAAGGACAATCTTCCTATCCACTTGTATGTCTTTCATTATTCTCTTTAAATCTGAGAATAAGTCAGCTCCACTTCATCTTCATTGAATTTTAACACAGCTAATCTCTTTTTATTCCCCAGGAAAATAACAGCTACACCACTGAAGACAGTAAGTTAATTATGCATTTAAAAATGCTTCCTATTTCTTGTACTGTTTTTTCTTATCCACTTATTTAATATTGAAAATGCTTCCAGCCATCATGAACACAGCAATTTCAGCAACTGAAACTGTTTCCCAGACAGTCCAAAGGAAATTTGAGTCTCAGGCAACCTGGAAGGTGCTACCTAAGAGGAGCTTGTCCTTTGGAATCCTGATGGCTGCACTGAGTGTGTGTGCAAGAGATCAGATGGGAGTGGCCAGGCTCCCTGCCTCCCACCACCTCTGTGGGAAGCCACTGTGCTCATTCCATGCCTCATGCCTCCTGAACCAATAATCAGCACAGAGACTCAGACTAAACTCAGATTCTGGTCAGAACTCAACTCGGGGCCATCTCATTATGTGAAGCAGCCCACCTGGACCTATTGTGGTATTTGAAATTGACAATCATTTAGCAAGCACACACAATGTGGAGTCATGAGATCACTCCTATATATGCCAGATATCCACTGCACAAGTGCTACTGCTAGCCAGCTGCTCGGGTACATAGTGTCCAACAACCCTGATGACAGAGCAGAGAGGGCCCCACACTAGGGGGGCCCTCCATTCCTTCCCTACTGTTCCTTCCATGATGCATTTTCAACCAATTGCCATTTCGTAAAAGTTGGGCTGGGGACTGTGTATTTTTAATTGTTCTTGTTGTGATTGGAAGAATAGCTATGCATCAAAGAAAACTCTGCCGAAATATTTATTTAATAAATTGCTTTGACTTTTATTTCCATGTTCCACTATATTTAATATGTTTGTCTTTTTAAAAAAATATATAGACTCCAGTTGCTTCTCAGCAGAATGCATCAAGTGTTCGTGAAGGTAAATTTATTATTTTAAAGGATGACCGTCTCGTCTAAAAGTAATTTAAATTAAGGATTTATTTATAAACGTAATTCTGAATTTATTTAATTATTTATAAGGCAATTATAAAAATGAAATTAAATTTTCTAAACAAAATAATCTTGCACTTTGTAATGAGTAGTGTGAGCAGCAAAGCTAGCTTAGAAACTGAGCTTAATGAGTAGGGTCTTTGGAGCAGGTTCTCCTCCCCCTACCCAATACCTGCTTATTTCATACAGCTGTAACTGGCCAGGAAGTAGTGTCCTGGCCCTGGACAGGTCTGAAAGATAATGCTCTTTTTAAAAATCTATTTAAACAACTTCTTTTCTTAAATTTTCAAAGTTCAAAGATCTGTCTTTTCAATATATCTTCAAAATGATTTTATGCCTTGTTTTATCATAACTCAAACACTTAACATGTTTGTTTGTTTGTTTTTTGGTACCAGGGATTGAACTCAGGACCTTGTGCTTCCAAGGCAGGCAGTGGAACCACTGAGCTAAATCCCTGGCCACTTAACATGTTTTTTTTTTATAACTGTCCCATTTAAAAAGTATTTGTATTTGAAAAATATTTACTGAGAAAAAAAAAGAAAAAGAAGTAAAAATCATACATAGTATCAGCACTCTATTATGTAGATGTTCAAGTCCCTCATCCATTTAACTCCACACTTGAAGGTACCAATGTTAAAAATGTGAATGTTGTCACCATTTCCTAAATTAATGTGGTCATACTGACAGAAGTTGCTGGTCTTTTTGAGGATAGACAATGGTTCTTTTCTGATCCATTGAGAGTGTGCTATAACTCACCTCTTTCCTTTAATTGCCCCATTATATTTTTTCCATTCCACTTCCCACATCCTTTTCTCCCAGGTTATTTCTGAGGCATCCCTTCTTTTCTGCTGTCTTGCTTTCTTCTGACTTTCCTTATATACTTTAGTTTACATGGACATCCCATGCATTTCTTGCATGTCCTTCCATCCCTTGCAGTCTCTTCTGCCTGTTGAGCCCGGTGCATAGAGCCATAGTAACCTCAGGGCCTCTAAGTCTCTGTTGGAAGTAAACACAACCCCTTGCAAAAATTATAGCTTTGGGAGCTTCCAAAAATTAGGCAAGAAGGGGCTCTTGTGTCTTCCTCCTTTGCTTTCTTCTTTGTACTTACTTCAAGAGTAGAGGCAATGGCTTTCAAACCCAAAGTAAGGGAGCAGCTTTCTCTCATATAGGAAGGAAGCTTAAAGGAGGGTAGAGGCAGAGCAAGTGTGGTCAAAGTTCAAAGGTTGCTGGACCTAATTTGGTTATTGTTTCTTCTTTGGAAATTACCAAGGTTGGTTGTTACTGTTGTTTTATATTACTGGGGATCAGACCCAGGCCTTGAACATGGTAGGCAGGTATTCTAGAGAGATGAACAAAACATCTAACAAGGCAGCTGAAAGTAACCTGCCGCACATTTGAAATACAATCCTCTGAGCTTCAAAGCTTCTACACCTTAGGAGCTCATCCTAGGAGGTACACCACAAGAAAATGAAGTTTATCTTACCATTCTCAGTATTTTAATCTGAGTTCTTACTACTTTTGTTCCTTTTGGGTTCCTTTAACTTTCAGTCTTTCTCCCATGCAGGCGACTCAGCAGGCATGAAGATTTTTGTTTGGTTTGGTTTGGTTTGGTACTGGGGATCAAACTCGGGACCTTGCACTTGTGAGGCAGGCAGCAGAACCACTGACTAAATCCCCAGCCCAACACCAAGATTTTAACATACCCCCAGACCAGGAGGAAGAATAAAGCATTAAAATAATTTGTGATCACATTTATTAATGGTTCAGAAGTAAAGTCCCCTATATCCTTCAACATACATGTCTTATATTTCAGGCTTACGCCCATTTTCCAGCCTTTCCTCTTGCACTCTGGAAAACAGTGAAATGACAGTGAAAATGGCATTATTATAAGGATAACCTCATAATTTTTAAAAAAGAGAGATCTCACAAATTCTTTTATTTTACCTCTTATCAGTAACGATTTGCTTAAAACACATCTTATGATTAATGAAGACACACTAGTGTATAATAACACCTGAGGGAAGGCTACATAGAAAGTAGAAGGGGAGTATCCAAAGGGCAGCCAACACTTGTTCTCTTGGCACACATTTGTGCTCACAAATTTAAAGCTCCAGCCCCAGTAGGTTAGGACTCCATGTGCACTGCCAGAGGATATGCACAGAGGTGCTAGTGTGTAGCTGTAATACTGCTGACTGAGAATCCTGATCCTACCAGCACATATACACAAGCAGACTGACAAGTATATACATTTGATAGAAGACAGGTTTCTGAGAAGACCTCTGACCAACTCTGATTCTGCCTGACTGATATGGCCGGATTTGGGGATAGGGATAGACATTTCATTTTAATCCTAATACAAGACTTTTCCTAATCCAGAAAGGCCTATACCTGCTGAACGCCACCGAGAGTCTAGTCACAGACAAGAAGCTGTAATGTCACCAGTGTTTCCTCCTTCCCAGAAGTAAGACTCTTTCCCTTTATAAAGAAGCTTCCTATTGTTATGTGCTAACTAACATGTGCTTTGTTGCAGTGTACAGCAACACTAACTTACAAGGCTAAATAAAATCCAATATTTCATTGCTTTGTAAAAAGTGTTCAGCAACTTAAACTGTGTACAATTGCAGAGACTTATGATCAGTATTAATTTTTAGACTTAACTAAAATAACACCTTAGTCAATTAGTCAAAAGTAAGGGAAACAATCTTACTTATTTTTAATGCTTCTCTTATTTTTATATATTTCTTATTGGCCACTGGTGTTGATTCTGTTGTAATGTGTCCATTCTTTCTTTCAGACAAATCCATCAAAAGCCCATACCTCTGCCACGTAAGTACAATGAGGTCATGAAGAGTTAAGGCTGGACTTGGTGTCTGACAGGTTCTAGGTTCTAAAACATCATTGTCACTTGCAGCTGTGTGGTCATATGATCTTCTCTTGCCTGTTTCACCATCTATAAGATGGAACTGAGAATATTTATTTCATAGAGTTATTTTCGGAGGTAAATAAACTTCAGACAATTTTTAAACATTTTTTTCTTTTTAAATATTGATTTAATATTTTACTGGTTGGCCATCTTTTCAAAACAAAAACAATACAGCTGTTTTAAAAGTAAGATAAAGTAAAACAACATGTGGGAAGTACACAGAATGTTCTCAATAAATGATAGCTATTTAATTTAAATCTAAAATATATTTGAGTGATTACAAAACATGTCAATGAAAGGTATCCTCAAAAGAGGAAAACAGCAAATATCTGGATAATTTTTCCAAGGTAAAAATTACCTTTTAAATGTATGAGTCAGATATATCAGGCTCATAGAACATAATTGCCCCAGACCTTAATTTTCTTTCTACTCAGTATAGGAGAAAAGAAGGAAAACTACCTTACATGGGTAATTTGAAATATATTCCAAAATAATCAAGATTAAGTCTATATAAATTACCAGAATAATTCTCATTTATAAAAATTTTATCTGCATTTTTGCTAAATAATTTTTGCTAAATTATTTAGGTTTTAATAATCACTTATACTCACTTTAAACTTTTACTAAACGGTTTTTCTTTTAATTTTGACAACACAAAAGTGAAAATGACTTGATATAGAAATTTATTTTTTCATTATTTAAAAGTTTTATTATCTTTCAACCCAAGTCATTTTTTTCAATCATTACTGACCATCTGGCATATGTGAGGCACTCTTCCAGGCACAGGAAATATTAGGATGAATCAAAGACCCTGTCCTTATGAAGCTTGTACTCTGATGGAGACAGAAATATAAATAAACATATAGATAAGCAATATCATATCAAATGAATGCTAAAGAAAAACAGAGCGAGTGGTAGGGAATGGATGGCAGAGACAAATGGAGGCAGTGAGGGTTGTTATTTTAGGTGGCTGGGAAAGCCTCTTTTATAAAATGAGGTACAGTAGTTCCACAAATAGCTGGGTGGACAACGAAATGAGCTAACATGTTGAAAACAGAGCAGCCCTTGTACATATTTGGGCCTCTGAAAATGTCCATGAGTATTTCCCAAACCATCCAAACTGTAGAAACCACCCTCCACCCCAAACTGTGTGCATTGCAGAAAGAAGTGTGACCACCCACTTACCTTTGCTTTTCACACTTGGGAGTGCCTTGCCCCCTAGTCAAAGCCATGCTTCCTTTAGGCCCATCGTTCTGGTACCTGCCAAACCCTCCACCTGGCTCCCTCCTATTACAGCAGTGGTTGCCTTCTTTGAACATCCAGGGCATTCATGCCTGAAACCCTTAGTTCTCTCAAACTTACTTATCCCGCAGACTTCCCTGTCTTAATACTGGACAACTCTGCTTGCTGTGGTCCGAAACCTGAGAATCACTTTGTCTCTCATTTCCTTTATTCATACACCATCCAGCTGTTCCTTCAAATTATATCCCAAACCCAACCACTCTTGCCACTTCCATGCTGTGATCGGTTCCCAGCCACCAGCATTGGCAAGAACACTGAACTGGCCTCTGCTCTCTGCTTTTGCCCCTTCTGCTTCCAGCCCAGCAGCCAGAGTAACCCAGTGACAAGGAATGCAGATCATGTTACTCCTCCATTTAAATCCTCCAAAGCTTCCTATATCATGTTCATTAAAGCTTGAGTCCTGTTAGAGTCTACCAAGTCCTATTAATTTGATCACAGAATCAGATTCTTCTTGCCTCCTGTCTAATTTCACCCTTATTCTTGTCCCCTTTCCTCACTATGCTAGATTCAATGGCTCTCTTGCTCTTCCTCAAATATTCCAAATCCTTGCACTAACTGTTCCCTCTGAACATTCTTTCCAGAAATGTTCATATGCCTCCTCCCTCTCCACTTGTGGATTTTACCCGTGTCAGCTCATTGAGGCCTTCCTTCCCTATTATTGTTCTCAGTAGCATTTATGCTTCTCTAATATTGTGTATATATTTACTTTTGTCTCTATCACTTAGTTCAACTCATTAAAATTCAAGGGCCGGGGATTTAGCTCAGTGGTTCTGCCGCCTGCCTTGCAAGTGCAAAGTCCTGAGTTCGATCCCCGGTACCAAAACAAAACAAAAATTCAGGATCTAGGAAGGCAGGTCATTTTGCTGCTTTGTTTCTGCTTATATCCACTGTGCCTTGATCTGTGGCAGCACACAAGAAAGAATGAATTAATATATTTTCTTTATATTATCTTTATTTCTCTCTAATTCTCTATACCTTTTTTATTCCCTTTGTCACTGTATTTAGATTGTAAACTTGAGGGAGTCTATTCTTAAAGAAAAGATTCTCAAACATTTTGGTCTCAGGACCATGTTAACACTCTTAAAATCATCGTAGACCTAAAGAACTTGGGTTTACATGTATCTTTCTATTGGCATTTAGTGTTATAAGAATTAAAACTAAAACATATTATCCATTTAAAAATAATAAATGAACATAAATAGCATATTTTTCTGAGAAATGACCACAGTTTCTAAAGAAAAACATTTTAGTGGGAAGAGTGGCATTGTTTTACATTTTATAAATTTCTATAATGTCTAGAGTAATAGACTGCTGGATTTTCCTATCAGTTTTTAATTTAATCTGTTTTAGTATGTTTTAATGGTTGAAATACATGAAGAAAACCAAGTTTCACAAAGATACGCAATTAGAAAAAGTAAAGACCTCTTGAACCCTGGAATGAAACTTGGAGATTCCCAGGGGTCCGCAGACCACACTTTGGTAACCATGATCTTAAGGATACCTTTGGTTTGTGTGTCTGCTGTACCACGCAGCACAGCAATGAGGCATATGCATAGTAACTACACAATACATAGTGGAGATTAGTTGATTTTTCAAACACCTTTCAGGATTTCCAGAAGGAGGAAGCCCAACTGTGAATGGACCATTCCTTAGTTTTTCATCTAATTCTGCCTTTTCAGAACAGGTATGGTATGAACTCTTTTTATTTTCTTTTCTCAGAATGAAGGTCTTTAAATTGGTTCTTATAGTGACTTCACTTGGTCAAGGTTATTACAGATTTGTACATGAATGTTAGAGCATATTTGGTTTACAAAGATTTCTTATGCACTTAAAGTGATTATATTTAAACATAATGTTTCAGGTACATAAGTACTGTGAACATAGTTTAGAATAATAAAGCTAAGCTCATGCTAACCTGGGTTACTAGTTGTTCCTGTTTCCCCAACTGATTGCTACCAGTACCTAATTGTGAGATAGCATGAACTGTGGATCTCACTAAACTTACCAGTAAGCTAAAGGAAAGTGTAGGTCTTCTGAGTACAGAGAGTTTGGATGAAAGCTTAAGAATAGACCCTGTAGTTTTAAATTGGTTTATGTGCTATCATTTGCTGAAGGATACAAATTACCTATGTTTTTACAATGACTAAGACCTTGCTCCATTTATTCTAATTTGTATTCCAGATGCCCTGAATTACAAGTAATATTTCTAAAACATAGCAAGGAAATGTGATGTTTTTCACATTTATTTGAACTGTAATTTTCTCAGAATAGACCTATCAAGAGACTTGTGATATTGAAACACACATCATAGTTTAAAGAGAAAGAAAGGACTCTACCTGCATTTGAAGAGTCTGAGTTTACAGGGTTAGGGTTAGGGATAGGGTTTTTACATAAAAATGTAAAATAGAAGTGATAGCATGCATCCTTCTTGTTTTCAAAGAAAGCATGTTTCATTATTTGCAAGAATCAAATAAGATGATATTCATAAAACACTTCAGAGATTATAAAGCACTTTGAAAAAGCAACAAGAATAAGAACACAATAGAAAGAGAAACTATAATTTATTTAGGAGAAAGAATAAATGATTGGAAAACTAATGGGATTTAGTTATGTTCAAGTACTAAATTTAGCAGCTAAGTCCAAATAGGAAAGAGCCAGTAAAAAAAGCCAGTGACTAGTTGTCCTTGTTACTCCAACTAACTGCTACCAGTAGCTAATGTGGTTGGCCTAAGGAAGCACAAAATTCATTTTCATAGTATTGGTGCAAACATACATTATCAGTTCCTGTCTCTATCATGCAAATTGAATCTTTGTTTCCAGTGCACAGAAATAGGCGAGTCCTTTAAAAAACAGTTCACGTGGGGCCGAGGATTTAGCTCAGCGGTTCCACCACCTGCCCCGCAAGCACAAGGACCCAAGTTCGATCCCCGTACCAAAAAAAACAAAAACAAAAACACAAAAACAGTTCATGCTTAACAATGCCTGTGTTTCACAGGAAGCTGACCTTCACTGTAAGCCGTGGTATGCTGGTGCTTGTGATCGAAAGTCAGCTGAAGAGGTATTAAACAGATCAAACAAGGTTTGGCCATCTTTAAATTTCATTTTGTGCCTCAGTCTGTGATAGGCAGAGTTGTTATACTGATAAGTGCTAATTAAGCAACTGTAAGAATTATGGATGCAAGGATCTTTTTCCTTTACTTACTCAGGAGGAGCTATCATCATCCCCTCCTCTCTTTCCAGCATCCATTCTTTGTTCCTCCACTTCCTTTCTACTTGTCCTTTCATCTCAAGGCTCCATAGGCTCCGTTGCTCTCTGAACAGGGGAAGTCTCTGGAAAGCTTGGTGTTACATAAGCTCTATCCAGAAATGAGCAGTGGCAGGCTATTTTGGGTCTATTTATAGGAATAAAGATTTGGGTCAAGATGGCAAAAAAAAAAAATTGGAAGTAACTTTCTGAGAGCCCAAGTTCAATCATTTAGAAACATTAGAGACAGGGTTTGGGCAGAATATATGACATTTACATACTGTTCTTCCTTACCTTTATTTCAGTCCTAACTCCAAAATTAAATATATTAATGATGTCTATCAGTCCTTTGGCTATCTTTTCCAATTGTTTCTTGTTTGATGACCTTTACTTCTTGGGAATTCTCAGGAAGAACTTTGTTTACATTATTCCTTAAGGTCTGGCACATTAAAAATTATTTTGTTCACAGCCTGATATTTGGAGGAAATGTTAGCTGAATAGAAATTCCTTAGCTTGAGTTTTTAAAAATTGCACTGCTGGATTGCCTTGCTCTGTATGAAGCTCTTGAGAAGCCTGATGCTAATGCTACTTCCTTGCCCTTGCATATAATTTCATAATTTAGGGTGGGGATTTAGCACAGTGGTTCCAGTGCCTGCCTTGCAAGCACAAGGTCCCAAGTTCAATCTCCAGTACCAAA